GAAAGACCTCCCAACCATAACCCATCTTACTACCTTGAAAAAGGTCGATGAGGCAAGACAACTGATTGATCAGGTTAGCTGCGTTATGTATAAATAAATCGCGCCTTATGCTGTTTTAAGTATCGCTTAATTGATCTTACTTCGTTTTAATTCTCGAGTTGTAACATCTTTGCTGTAGGTTATGCAGGCAATTTAATTTCCATGCTTAACACTGGATAATTTGCATACGGTCTTATCCCAATTCAGTATATGCGCTGCTGGTGGACAGTGTGGCGCTGTTTGAAACGTCAGCTCAAAACATACACTTCTATCGATGTATTTTTGTGTCCAACGCATCCTATCGAAAGATCTATGTAGAATACTTCCTGTTTTCCATATTGGAGCTGAATCAGTACAAATTTCAGAAGATACATATTTAAAGTCCTTGCTGGACACTGGCATTCCGCTCGTTTACTAACAGCCCTTTCCTAGCCAAATTTTGAAAAGGTTTTAAATGGCATGGAAAGTTAGCATACGCCGTCTGGTTAAATACTGACTCCACTTGTCACGGTTCGAAATAACTTTTGTCCGCTTACCCCAAAGTCATGTTTGGGCGTTCGTACGTCGAGGCACTGTACGCAGGTCGAGTCAAAGTTTGTTCGGAAATTGTGTTGTTCGTGGGTCGAGTTGTTCGTGACTCGAGGTACCACTGTATACTGTTGGAGCTACAACTTCAAGTTGGCTTGTGAAAGAAGCTTGTTCTGTCCAACCAGTGATGTTGAATTGCATTCAATCATTGCAGGGGCTGAAATGCCATGCTTTTGTGACTTATTTAAATGATCCCCCTAAGCGACCAGAAGTAGAGGGCGGCGAACCGTATAATTCGGTCTAATGACTCGTACCATTATTCCTCCAAACTCATATTACTTGCACTGGCCGGAAATCAGCGACGAATCGCGATGCTAGTAGCACGTCCGCCATTCTTCATGATTTCGAGCTTCCTCTCATCAAATGTAACTTTCCTAGATTCTGGTACATTCTTCCCACTATTGTGGTGGATGACTAGTGGTCTACTCTGCTCGCCAAAGTACCAGTCGACGAACATCGTGGATCTCCGGTCGGTGAACTGAGCTACGTTCCTGTCCACTTAGCCTTTCCTTTCTGCTTTCAGCGACGACGTACATTACTCCTATCTGCTGTCTGATCACCACTCTGGAGATGTGGTCGGGACATAAGATTCCAAATATTTTCTCCATGATTCTTTCGGTGACAGAGAGCTGATGTTCTTCGGCGTTAATGAGTGACCACGTCATACAGTATTGCCGGCAGGATGGTAAAATTGAAGATACGATCGCGGGTTTCTTTGCTAGTATTGTCGAGGAAGATATCCTTGATTAAATGGAACGCACGCCAGTCAGACCTCTTTCTCCTTTGAATCTAGCCAGTATGATCATGCTGCAAATTGATCTCTTGGCCCAGACAAATATTTATTGACTTCAACCTTTTCGCCGCTTAATAATATCTGGGCTTTCGGCAGGGAGTTTAGTCGCAATTCGCAGAAACTGATATACCCAAGAGATTAAACAATTATTTCTGTAACTCAAAAATTATTTCGTCTAAAATTTTAATTCACCCACTGTCGAACGTAAGCATCGTTTTCATGGAATATATTAACGTTGCAGAATGGTCTTCTGAGATCGAGAATATTGGATGACTTCCACGTCTATTATAAGAACCTGTAGGCGTCCATGAACCGACCAAATCAAATCAAGCTGTTAAATGACCTACTGTTAAATTTCTATTAGCGCATGGAAGATATGTTTATATACGTTGTACCAACAAACTTCCGGCATTAGCAGCCTTGAACTGCTTCATAACCGACTGTCCTGCGTAAGTGAGCCACATAGGATACGTGATCCGTGGTCTGTCTGTAGGTCGTCGTCAGTATGTTGCCAACACGATGCTCCAAACAGTCAAAGTTTATTCGCTTATACTACTGGAGTGGCTATACGGAAATAAAGAATTTACTCTGAACAAATAGTATTTTGTGAAACTGGCAAAGGTGCCATCGATGACTTCATGTAGACATGAATCCTGAACATGGACAGTGCAAGACCACACATATTTGTGCTCAGTCTAAGTCGGCGGGGAGACGGCACACGCCTAAGAGTTCCGAAAACAGAACTGCGAACAATGAGTGAATGAGCAAACACCAACAAAGCTTCCCTTCGGATGATGCGAATAAGTACGAAAGAGCAGATATGGAATATGGAAGGCCAAATATAAGCATCAAGACTTGTTTCTATTCACCTTAGGGATCAAGCAGGTCACAATTCCATGATTGCCTGCAGTGTATAGAACGCAAGATCGATCACTGATTCGGAGTACACCAATTTGCAAGTTTGGTCGGAGTGAAATGCATGTGCTCTCAAGCAATGCCTATTAACCGGCAAGTACTAAGGTTGAATCTTCCGTTTTTAAGTTCGGAGATAGCTACAGTAACTTCAACAAGCTTAGGAGTTAGAATCAGTTTCAGAGCCAGGTTTCGTAGTTGGTAGTATTATTCAATTATTACATGACAATACATCGAACACTACTTAATGCCCATTCATGGTGCCCACGTGGATGAGGTTTAGACAGTTTAGGCACATACAGTACTAATTTGCAACAGTATCATGAGCTCTATGAGTAATGATTGTTTCATTTGAAAATTTTTCATACCAGATCTTCCGACTATTGCGCTTGTCGAGAACAGAGTATTTCGTTTTAGATACGGCTTTCATACTGCTGCATCCATAACGCTGCAATACAGTAGGTGCCGAGAACGGCAATGTATAATTCGCCCATTCTGTGTTTAGAGAAATTATGTAAACAACTGCTTTCCATACCTGAAAAAATGAATGCTTAAGGCAGCGAGAATATCTGGCAGGTTCGAATTTTCTATTATTTAACACAACGAAATATGGCTGCTTTCATGAATCGGATAATCCGATATGACCTGGATCGTCGTCCATGTTGCTTTCTGAGGTCAGGATCAGTTTTAGACCTTTGACCACGAACCGAACTGTAGCAACTGCTACCCGACTAAATTTCAGTGCATGCGTCGACCGACCGAGGTAGTACTAAACAACGTCGACAAACGGAGCGACTTTAAGGCGACAACAGTGCATCAACGTTGTGTTTATTATCTTGGGTCGTTCGCAGAGTCTCTGATACCTGGCTTGCCAAGTCCGCCACGCTTTGAGCTTTACACCACTTCTTCGTCCATAAAGTCCCGGTTACTACGTGGCAGAAAATACAGTTCCTCTTCAAACTGAGTACTGAAAACCGGCAAGTAGGAATTTCTCCAAATCCTGCCATATCCCTGCCGCTTCCTGATCATCATGGTTTTTTTTCGCAATCATATATGGCAGCCGTTGCCGGTCCCAAGGCCGGATGAGAAAGGAGGAGGGTTGGAGACCGTGGCAAGTCTCCGCAAAATTCAGCCACCTGCCACTCATGGTATTGACACCATCGAAAACTATACCGGCTCGGTCGTCGCCCGGGTTACCAAGAGCCGCGCAGGCTGTTGGACGACTGAGGCAGACTGCGAAAAGTTGGCAATCAGAACCTGCTCATTGCCCTCTGCCAGCCAAGTGGCAGCACAACGACGGCTGACAAAGACTGACGGAACGACGACGAAGATACCAGTCAGCAACGGAGTCGCAACGGAAGAGTCAGACAGCGCCATGCCA